TCCGAAATGGAAAATTATTCATAAAAGAATCATTCTGTTGTATGATGCATTTTACTATTTTTGTGTCACATGTTCGTCAATGTTTATGTCATTTCCTCCATGTGGGAAACGAAATCGTTACTCTATTTTTATATCAAATATTTGTCGTGGGAGTTACAAAATTTGGACCCACGCTTAGAATTTGTTATCAACAGTTTTCCGGTTCAAGATCCAGTGTTTATTGAAATTTACGGTCACACGTGGAAAGTACATGATTAAGGAGACGAGACTAGACTCAAATGTTTACAGTGCATCTGATATTGCACAGCTGATATCTCCTTAATATAGGAGAAACTCGACGTTGGGAACATTTTTATCGTTCACAGATGTGTGCAGCCGAAATATTCCCAACATCGAGGGGGTCACTTTCCCTCGTCACAGAAGATAATTTGGGTTTCAAAAGTCGCTTCTATCACTGAGATAATTGAATGACGACGTAAGAAAATGAATTAAAATTAATTTTCTGACGGATGTCACACAACCTTTATAGCTAGCCGGGTGTCCGCTTTGTTTACAGTTAGCACATTTTAATAAAGTTTTATCCGAATTTTTTGTCAGGGTACATTTGCCGGGTTCGTGGCTTTCTGCGCATTTTACGCATCTGAATTCAAGTGAACAATATGTGCTTGAGTGACCTAGTCGTTGGCATTTTTTACATTGAAAGAGGCTGTTTTTACGGAGAGGTTCCCAGCTGACTTTTTGATATAGTATGACTTTAATCTTTGTTAATTCTGTTAATATAGAATTACTCGATGTTTGAACTAGATATGAAAAATTGTTTGAATTTTTGTTATAAAAAATCTTTGTAATTTTTAAAATTTCTACGTCTTTTAGATTAAGTTCTTTAATTTCATTTAGAATATCTTCTTCATTGAAATTGCCGTAGAGGCCTTTTAAAACTAGTGTTTTTAATTTGTCACTCTTAGGAGTGTATGAATAAAATTTGATATCTTTGTTTTTTTAGTAATTCTTTAAATGACTTGTATATATTGATGTCTTCAGTAAATATAGAGACATATTGAGAGTCTTTTGCTTGTTTCAAATAAAATTTATTCTTTACATCTTGATTAGAAGCAGTGAGAAGATCAGCGATGTCCTTCAGTGGTTTGCCAGAGGTGTGTATTGGGGGAGGTCGTTTGCCTTTAGATATCTGCGTTGGCTGTTGTTGCGAGGTTCGTTGGCTGGTGTGGCCTTCAGTCTCGCTTTCTCTGTCATCTTCATCAGACGGTAGTTTGCCGAATCTGTTGTCCAGTATGATGTCTTCGTCTTTCTCTTTGTTGCGAGGTGAGCGATGTTTTCTTGGGGTTACCCATTGTTCTGAGTTTTCAGAATCGGTGCAAATATTCTCTGAATTTGTGGCTTTATTCAGTGAATTATTTTCTGTGCTGTGTTGATTCTCAGATGACTGTGTTTGTGTAGTCTTTTTCTGAGATCTGTTAGGGGGGTTTTAGCTTTTATCTCCATATAATATTTGGCATTCTCGTTATTCTTTCTCAAGTGCTTTATCGAGGCGGTTAGCGGTAATATTTGATCTGCTTATTTTTCCAATTTTACCTGGAGTATTTGCTGACTGTTGTTCGTCCAGCTTTCTTTTCCTTGCAGAATCGGTATTTGATGTGTGATCTCGACCTCTGCCACGGCCTCTGCCACTCATCTTACTGTTGATTTTATGATGTTAAATTAAACTTTACTTTTTGTGTGTGTTGGCATTGCCAACACACAGGACTGAATTAGATAATCTAATAGATTGTGTAATTGTTCAAGACTTCAGATAACAGTTAATGGATTTTTACTGTTATATTTGCCCACAAGAGTTATAATATTTCGCTGCTTGGGGCAGACTCCTCGACAGGTGCTCTGCCAATTGAGCTATTGTGGCCTCCTCCGCATCTCCGAATTTCAGAACTTGTGTATATCGTCTCACTATCCCCACTCCTCCCACCCTTCCCGTTTAAAGCCGTACTGAAATATCACAATCAAAGACATTTTTCGACCGGTATATTGAACATCTATATTATCCCTTGGGCTATACTCTCGGTCAACCTTAGATATTTTTAAGGCATAAATTACTTGGAAAGCGGGATGCTATATGCTATCCATCGACTTTCCGGACCTCTATATGAGGGAAATAATTGAATAATTATCAATGCACAAATTAAAAAATTTGGAGGCACACGGGCTCGAATACAAGTGGGGTATGATCCCACATCTTCTGTTTGCCGGACAGGTGCTCTGCCAATTGAGCTATTGTAGCCTCTTCCGCACAAGTAATTTATGCCTTAGAAACATTTAAGGTTGACCGAGTAGAATAGAATTTTCATGGTTTTTCTCTTAGTAACGACATTTGCTCGGTTTCTGTTCAAATCTGCAGAAATATTTCATGCTCAGGTGAAAATAAAGGTGTCCCATTTGAAAAATTGCACCCAAATATCTCCTAAGGCGGGCGAGTCACAAAAAAATGTTCGAAATGAAAATTATATGGTTTCGAGGGGGACATTTGATGTATTCATTATTTCGAGCTTTCAAGCTCATACTTGCAAGCTGCAAGCACAAAGTTCTTTTTTCAAATGGCAACCGCATGTTTCATCCCAATAAAACTTGTTCATCTTGATGAGTTGTTTTCAAATTCTCTGTCGTTCATGTAATTTCCTCTAATTTTACTCGAAAAATGCCACAAAAAAAAATTCTGTGGTCAAATTGAAGTTTCAGACTTTTTTAGCGGGACCCAGGATACACCACGTGGAGGTAAAGTCTGCTTTGCATCCCTTGCGCTAACAAAAAAGAAAAAAATACCGCGAACATGTAAAACAACGCAAACGAGTGAAATATCGTCAATTTCACTGGCTTAATACATCTTGATGTGTTCAATGAAATGATACTAACTCGATTCTGGTTGAATTGGCACTGATAACAATAAAAGAATCCTAGAAGGAGTAGGAAAATGTTTTGTTTATTTTTTACATTTGATAATTCCAGTTGGTAAACAGGTCAACGGAACAATTACACCAAGGTGCGCCAAGGATGTTTGAATCTTCAATTTGACAACACAACTCTTTTTTGTGACAGTTTTGGAGCAAAATTAGGGGAAATTACATGAATAACGAGGTATCTGAAAACAACTCAGCAAGATGAACAAGTTTAATTGGGATGAAAATTGCGGTTGTCATTTGAAAAAAAGCACTTTGTGCTTGCAGCTTGGAAGCATGAGCTTGAAAGCTCAAAATAATGAATGCATCGAATGTCCCCCTCGAAACCCTACAATTTTTGTATTGAACCTTTTTTTGTTACTCGCCCGCCTTGGGAGATATTTGGCCGCATTTTTTCAAATGGGACACCCTGTATATTAAGTTACCTTGAAATTTACCCAGAATTATTAGAGTGAGGCTAATGTTCATCAACATATCTGAGTTTTCCATTCCAGAATTGAATTTCATAATGTCTATTGTAAATTCAGGTTCTATAATTATCAGTCAAATGAATGAAACTAATCACATACCAGTTCACAGGGTAGTTGCTGTTATGGAGCAGAAACTTCATGAGAATGAGAATTAACGAATTAAATTAAAAAATGACGTATATTGATCTCATGCAACCTAGTAAGAAAAAAATCAAATTTTGAAATTTCTGTCCGAATAACGCGACAACGATTGAGATGTTTTTGCTCAGTATGCAATCAAAATCGAATAATTCTAATCGAATCCAATGATTGTAGGGGTCATCAAATGTCAACAAATCATGAAAATTTCACTTTAGCTTTTCGGGTTAATTACGAAAACTTCATCCTTTAGGGTTCGAAAGTTAATAATATGTAAATGCATTGTTCGTACAAAAAAACCAAATACCATCGTTATGCGCGGTAAGATTTTGAAATTTTCAAAGAAAACTAATTTTTTCAATCATTTTCACATGTTTTACATGAATAACTAACGAACTGCTGAGACGATCATCTTCATAAACTAATTATTGTCAAGTTATTATACATTCACACGCACCGTTTGAAAAAAAATTCAAATCGGATCATTACTCTAGAAGAAATAGTAGAATATGTGGAAAAAACATCATTTTTGACATTTTTTCACATGTTTTTTGCGAATTACAATATAATCTATATAGATGTCTGTCATGTCAAATCACTCTATATATATATTAATTATAGTATATGATAACCCTCGGCCGGGAAACGTAATAGTTCTCGACGCAACAAAATTGTGACAAAATGATTCCGCATCAAGTGTGTATGATAATGCGCTTGTCGACTTGGGTCTTCACCATGATACAGTAGAGTTGCCAGTATAACGCAAATACTCCACAAGCAATACCATCAGTTTGTTGCTGAACTGTATGATGGGTAAACGATTTCGGGAATGCATACAATGTATTCAAAAAAGCTATTCAATTTTTTTGTTTTTATCTTATTATTGTCGTCTTTGAAGAGATGTCCGTATGTGTGCGTAAGTGATCAAAATTTTGCGCTAATATTTCTCTCAAAGAACAGGATGGTCTCAGATTGCATCAGTTGTAATCAGTTCTAAGTTAAATGAAGACACATCGATTGAAAAAAAAATTGATCAAATCGCTTCATTTGTTCAGTAGATATCGTTGGACATAATTTTGACCACATACACACACACACACACACAGCTGGAGCGAGCTCCTTAGCGAGGTGGAGACCGACCCATGGGGGAGGCCCTACAGGGTGGTGATGACACGACTCAAGAGTCAATCAATGCCATCACCATCGTGTCCGGTGCTCCTGAACAGAATTATGGAGACGCTGTTCCCAAGTTAACCGGAATTTCGCCGCAACTCTGAACAATGGGAAGGAGAAATTGTCCCGGAGATCACCAGGGAAGAGCTGATGGAGGTCTGCAAAAGAGTGGGAAACTCCAAAGCTCCAGGGCTGAACGGAATCTCGAACATCGCGTTGAAGCTGGCCATTAACACGATGCCAGAGCAGTTCCTGGATGTTTACAACGAGTGCCTCAGAGATGGCATCTTTCCTGCCATGTGGAAGAAGCAGAGGTTGGTGCTGCTCCCAAAAGGGAATAAACCACCGGACGAACCTTCATCTTACCGTCCCCTCTGCATGCTCGATACTGCTGGCAAGATTCTCGAGCGTATCATCCACCAGAGGACATAAGCTGCCGTGGAACCCGCGCTTGCTGGGAATCAATATGGTTTTCGGAAAAGCCGGTCCACACTTGATGCCATCAACCTTGTCGTCGAAACCGCTAGGAAAGCGATTGAAGGGGAACGATGGTTGAATGGCACTAAGGAGTATTGCTTGGTGGTGACTCTGGACATCAAGAACACCTTCAATTCAGCTAGGTGGGACTGCATCATGGAGGCTCTTGCCAAACTGGACGTGCCGGGCTACTTGCGGAGGATGGTCAGTAGCTATTTCAGCAAAAGGGTCCTCATGTATGATACCGAGACTGGGCCTAAGAAGTACAAAGTGACAGGAGGAGTACCCCAAGGTTCAGTCCTGGGTCCCCTCCTGTGGAACATCATGTGCGACGGGCTGCTGAAGCTGAAACTGCCCTCGCGGACTAAGCTTGTGGCATTTGCAGACGACGTGGCTGTGGTCATCATCAGGAAACACCTGGAGGATATGAAGCGTGTTTTCAGCATAACGTTCGAGACGATCCGCTGCTGGATGGATTCTGTTGGACTGAGCCTAGCGGAACAGAAGACGGAAGCCGTATTGATCACCAGCAGGAAGAAGATCGAGACGATCACGCTGCAAGTCGGGTCTTGTGAAATCACCTCCCAGCCATTCATCCGATACCTGGGGGTGATGATCGATGCACGACTGAATTTCAAGCAGCAAACTGAGCACGTGGGGACCAAGGCATCTGGTGTGAGATCCACCTTATCACGCCTCGTGCCAAACATCGGGGGACCCAAGCAGAGGAGACGAGCTCTACTGTCCTCAGTAATTACTTCCGTGCTCACATATGCCATCCCCATCTGGGGAACTATCCTACAACTACAGGAAGCACGACGTTAGATCGCACCAGTCTATCGACTCAGTGCCCGTAGAGTCGCAAGTGCATATCGGACGGTTTCTGAGGACGCAGTGTGTGTCATCGCAGGAATGTTGCCGATCGAGATTTTGGCTGAGGAGCGGAAAGCTCTGTATGAGCGTAGAAGATCTGAAGTGCTGAGTCCCGAGGAGTTGACGTCTGAAGAAAGGCGAAACGGCCTAAGGCGATGGCAGCTGAAGTGGGACAACTCCACCAAGGGGAGATGGACTCATCGCCTGATTCCTAAAGTGGATGTCTGGCTAAATCGCGGACACTGGGAGGTGAACTACTACCTGATGCAGATGCTTTTTGGGCACGGATGCTTTAGAGCGTATCTTCATAAATTCAAGCATGAAGATTCCTCGAAATGTCCAACCTGCCCAGAAGTGGATGATGATGCGGAGCATGTGTTCTTCGCATGCTCGCGTTTCAGCGAGACCAGGCATATCTGGGTGTCCACACTAAAAATGGAAGTACTGCCTGAAAATCTAACGGATGTATTACTATCATCGCAGGCAGCTTGGGACGCAACGAGTCACTTTGCGGCTGAAGTCATAAAAGAGCTCAGGAAAGAGGAACGCGAGCGCAAGGCTGCAACACAGGCGGAAAACCTACTGGAACCTCCTACCTACACCCAACATCTTTGTATGCTAGGAGGACGTACATAAGGTTGGAATGAGGAAGAGCAAATAGCTGAGACCTCCCTTGCTAAGTAATACTTAACGGTGGTGCCGCGAGGGGAAGAAAAGGTCAACGATTACTATGGTCATGTTCGCTTTTTTAGTCCGTATGGGTTGCACATTCGCCGAGCAGATACTTGCTCGTGGTCGCTACTATCTAGACCTGACCGATTCGGACACTACACTTCAGACACCACCCGTCTGGAGTGTGTTAGTGCGTAAAGAGCATTTTTTCCGTTCATGAACAAAAAAAAAAAAAAAAAAAAAACACATACACGCCCCTTCTAGGAACTGCAGGACCTTGTCGTTGGTGGAGGGGCTTGGGGATGCATCCCAAACTAAGGAGCAGTTCAAGCCGAGGCTTGTCCTTCTTAGGACATCTTGGAAGAGAAACCCACATTTAAAAGACGTGTGCAGGGTGGGCTCCCTAGAACAGCCGACAATAAAGACAACAGGGAGGGCTTCCTTTACCAGCCTAAAATAATTATGATGAGTGATGACAAAATACACAGTTCCCATGCGGGTATCCCTGAGAAGGAAAATCCCGCCATCAGTGCTGATCGAGTGAAAGCCTCGGTGGCTGATGCTGGCTCCGTGGATTGTGAGAGGAGCCAATCATCACTTTCTTTCAAGGTGGACCACTTGGCTTCAAATGCTACAAGTGGGGTAGAGTCATAGACTCAACAGGAGGAAGTATGCCGTCATGTTTGGGAACGACTTGGACAACTCATTGCAGAGTTACATGAGTTTATTCAGCCCAAGAATAATGTCCACAAGTAGATCAAATCCAAAGTCGCATCTATCGGCAGCACGTTCAAACGACTCCGGAGCTTGGAGGAGGCACGCAGCAAGGCCCAGGCCCCCATTGCTGAGCCCGTGCAGGCGCTATTACTACCACACATGTCGCGCTCACGGACGGACTTCGAAACGACGGTCAAAGACTCGGAGGTAGAGGATTCGAGTACCACGCAGTCAATTCGATATCTCCAGACGAGAGATGTCCGGAAATCAGTGTGGAGGAAGCGCTCGAAAGGCTCACCTGCAGCAGAAGCTTAATAACTGAAGAAGCTGAAGCAACGGGATCTGACCAGCAAGACAGCCACGCAGGGGAAGGGACTGGTTGATGGGTCAGACTGGAAGCTGATTGAGTCTAAGAGAGAAAAGAAGAGACGAGATGAGAAGCTGCTCCAAAAGCCATTTTCCGAGAAGAAAGAGTCCAAGAAGCAGAAGAAGACTGATTGGAAACCAGCGCCCAGACATGATGCCCTGACTGTCCGACCCAAGGACAAAAAGAAATACTCTGACATTCTCCACCGAGTAAAGAAGGATGTCCCTGCAGAAGAAGCTCAAAATTGCGTAGATAAAATCCACCGGACAGCGACCGGGGATATGTTGATCATCTTGACCAGGAAAACGGTCGATGGAGCTCCTCAGCTGCGTAGAACCATCCCGAGTGGAAATTCTGTTCAGGTCTTGATCAGAAACTGATCAAGTCCGATCCGAAATTCTGATCAGGCGTGTTACGCCTCTGCCTTAGGTTTTTCCACTAGGGATCGTCAGTCTCCTTGGAGATCAAGCGAGATACTCAGTATGAAGCCACAGGAGGATCTGGAGATAAAGGATCTTGATGAGACCACATCGAAGGACGATGGACGAAGGACGACGCACGACTTGCTCATCCAGACAGTGCGATAGTCGAAGCTCGATCTTGCCATCATCTCAATATCATATCGTCACCCGGACGCTGGAACCTGGGTTGCTGATGCTAGCAAGAAGGCTGCGATCGGGGCCTGTGGGAATAGACCATTCCAAAGTATCATGAGTGATAGCATACAGAATGGCTTTG